GTCACAGCACCCTTATTTATTAAGAGGTCATATAGCTGGGCAACAGAGCCGTGACATCAACACACAGAATCTGTCGGCACAGTTCAGTACGGTTGTCTAACCGTGCTGAGAATTCTGGGCTGAGAACGGTTTGTAATCGTGCTGCGCCGTTCCAGGCTCAGTGGAGAAACAATCGTAACCGTACCGAAGTGTTCTTAGAACGGTTCGGCACGATAGTGGAAAAGCGGCTTCAGTTTTGTCTGTACTGAAAGACCACAATCTATACATTTGACATATTGACAAGTCCTGTCATATGAGACTAATGCATGTTTCCTTGCATTGCTCTGTAGTGAGGCATTCCTATTGAAGCACATGTTTGACTAACTATTATGTGTTATTGTGGTGAATTACAGCTGCTGATTTGAGCTGACAAGATGTTCCAGGAATAGGGCATGTTATTGCTTCATTGCTGGAGTATTTGTGCTGCAAAACACACCAGCAGATTTGGCTCTTTAAGACTGATCTCGATCTTGTTTGTGCAGAGAAGCTCTAAATCCTTATGCAACATATTTTATAAGATTTAATAAAAAAAAAACTCAAATAAAGAAAATGCTTTTTTGTTTACGTTTTATGTTAATCAAATACCATTACCTCTTAAATAAATAAGCAAGCAAGCAGATGCCTAATATTTTTGTGGAAAAATATTGTTGTTTTTTCAGCATTCTTTAAAGAATCAACTGTTCAAATATCTCTTTAAACTTAATCATCCTTGCTTAATGCAATTATACAAAAAAAGAAGGGGAATTTAGATATATCAATATTATAATTTATATAATAAAAAATTATGAAATGTTACATATTGCTTATTTTTAAATTATTATTATTATTATTATTATTATTATTATTATTATTATTATTATTATTAATGCTAATATACATTTGGTAAAAGGCTAAATATTTAATATCAGATATGATATAGCCAATGTCAAAAATTTCAATATAGAAAAAAGTTTAGATGCAAAAAACCTCTAAATGCCATCTAAAATTTCTTTTAAAAACAAGCATTTTTCTCAAACTCCTTTGTTTGTGTTCAGTTTTTTTTACTTTACAGGCAGTGGAAACACCCTATTCATTAACATACATGTGAAATTACTGAACCTTAACACTTTTTTTTGAAGAAACTATTAGATGGCCTTTAGAATAATTTTCTTATAATGTCTAATCACTTATGTTAGTTATACTGCCAGCCAAGAGTGCATTTCAAAAGTTTTCAAAGAAGGGTGTAAAATGTTTTATGGATAAATATTGTAAAAGACGATATAGATTTAGATCCCAACAGAACATTTTACGAGATTTAATGGTTCATTTACAAAAACAAAGCTACTGTATGAGAATACACTTTAGTGTGTTGATATTCAGTTTGAATGACAAACCCAACCCAGCTTTTTGCAATAAATAAATGAAAAAAAAACACTAATTTGCAAAACTTAAATTAATAATCCATTTTTTTTTTTTTGCAAAAAACCACAATAATTTTATAATATGCATTTATATATAATACACATTATAATCTACATTGGGCTGCCCGATATTGTAAAAAACTGACATTGAAATATTTTATTTTTCTGTGATAAATTTTGTAATATTGAGTATACTTTCACTAAATTAAATTAATGGCTTTATTTGGAAATAATTCATAATTTTCGATTGATTGGGATGATTTTGTAGTTTAGTGCATCGGCATCTAATCAAATAAATCAAATCACTAGCACTGATAAATACAGTGCAACAAAGATGCAAATGAAATGCATATAAATCTTATAGTTTTCTGGGAGACTAGCAGGCAAAATAACAAAAAAAGTAAAATATCACTGTATAGTCTACCTTGTATAAATACAATTAATCTTTCTTAAAGTTAAAAGCATTATCATTTCTTACCTGAATGTTTTAAACTGGCTTAAAATGCTCACCGACCTTAAAAACAAATGCAAATGATAAACATGTTGGTTAACTTTAGTAAAAGTTTGCAGTGAATCCACAAATCTTGTTTGTTTTCAACTGTGGAAAATCTCAACTCGACATTGCAGATCCTCGTGGACAGGCACATTCTGAAATCAATGCTGAAACGATATATTTTGCATCCCTAAATAGAAAAATAGACTTCCAAATTCTTACATTTTCTAGCTTTTTGTTTTCAATAATTTAACCATCCTTTCTAAATAAAAGCACTAACTCCCTTTATATAGTGCAACAAAATAGAAAGGCATGTTCATGATTTTGTACCTGAGTTGCAGATTATACCCAGAAAATCTGTCGTTCTTAATAGATACTGGTCTGTCAAATGACTTGGTATAAAATATTGGCTATTAGCTTGCCTCCCTGTTCATCACACCTAGCCCAGTCTGGCTATCTGGCATGAGTCACTTAGTAGACCTTCCCTTGGATCTGCACCGACTGGCACAGGACACCTCTGGTGTTCTCTGCCAACACTTTGCTTTGTAAACAACAGACCATGTTTCAGAGAACTCTGTGCAAATGACCTGCCGAGTATCCAATTATGAGTTCATCTGAGAGACCCCTGATGGAGGATCATCACGGTGGGGGATTGTAGGCTCACAAAATTAATCCTGCTGAGGTCTGTTAAAATTTCTCAAATATTCAGCTTTTTTGCTGTTGTTTAAACGCATCATTCTACAGATTTAGTGAAAAGCTGGTGGTAATTTCTATTGTTTTTGTATCTATAGGGTATGAAAGTCACATTTCAGGACTAATACAAGCTACATGCATCTTGGATTTAGTACAAGAGTTGATTTAGCTGAATTCAAGCATATGCAAGCACCAAAAGGGAGGTTTTGCCTCTCATATTTGTTACCAAATTATTGCTATGTCTACACATACGCTCAAAAATGCAGTGTTGCAAGATGTGTTTGCCAAGCTCACAGTCTCCATACCAACATGACTGTATTTTCATTTCTTGCTTGTGTATAATATTATTGCAGCATTTGTTTTTTTTCCTTTTCCATTTTTCCCCCTGACTGTCTGTTTTCAATCTGCTGAGATTATCCTCACTTTCCCTCACTTAGTATTCACTGGAGCCAATCCGTTCATGCTGTGGCTCTAATCATTCGTAATGATTTCCTGTTGCTATTGTTTGGAGAGACAAAGTAAATGTCACACCTCAAGCACAGGTTTTCAATACAGCACTTCCTTTCTAGTTTTTCATCCCTCTCTCCACTGCTCCTGTTAGCTCAGCTCTTGGCTCTGTGACTCATAGGTTTGCTTTTAGAATATGCACTGAAAGAACCCAAATGCATATTGGTGTTTGGGCTTAATTAAGACATTAAGTTTGCACTAATATATGTATTTAAAACAATAAATGAAGTGTAATTTTGCGATTTAATAATAAACACAAATAAAGTTATAATTTATATGAACAATCTAATAAAAAAGTAATAATAATATAAATGTTTTTCCAGCATCGATGCAGGTTTTCTCTGGTGATGTCTTATTTTTTTCCATAACTGTAAGCTAGAGCAGAATTAGCCATTTCCCATCCTCAAGCAAGACCCACTGAATGTTTGAATGAATGATTGTGATATGTGAATGATTCAACAGCTCATTAATAATGACATTGGCTGCTTCCATAATTTCACCTTAAGCAGGTAATTATTTTGAATAAGCTGCAATTTAAGTACATTCTATACAGTATGAATTTGTTCAGCAGTATGAATGTTATCTAAGCATACTGTATTCGCCATGTTGTTGTTGTTGTTGTTATTGTGCAACCTACTAGCGTCAATTTCATCACTTCACTGCCATAAACAAATCCTAGAGAAGTGTCATCATTAGAAAATGAAATGTCATCATACACACTTCAGAATCTTGCCCACAAAATAGTAGGTCATGTAGGTACTTATGAATGCACACATGTCTCTTTGGTCTTTGCTCTTGAGACATGCGGTTTAAGTGAATTAAATAAGCTAAATTGGCCGTAGTGTATGAGTGTATGTGTGTGAATGTGAGAGTGTATGGGTGTTTCCCATTACTGGGTTACGGCATGAAGGGCACACGCTGTATAAAACATATGCCAGAATAGTTGGTGGTTCATTCCGCTGTGGCAACCCTTGTTAAATAAAGGACTGAGCCTGCGGAAAATGAATAAATGAAAAGGTTGGGTGTACTAATTTTTCGACTGTGATCTTAAGTTGTGTAATGTCTATTCACAAATATATTTTATTATAAAGCATTTATTGAAAATCTTAATTTAAAAGAGTGAACTGTAAAGGGTGTACTCATTTATGCTGAACAGCTTTGTGTTAAAGTCACCGGTCACTTTAAACACCTTTTTACCTTCAGAACGGCCTTAATCCTTCATGGCATAGATTCAACAGAGCACTGGAAATATTCCTCAGAGATTTTGGTCCATATTGACATGATAGAATATATATATATATATATATATATATATATATATATATATTCATTTGCACACACACAAACGAGATGCATACAAACTAACTCAAGAAATATATGACAATCAGACTAATTATTCATGTCTTTTTAATTCTTTAATTCCTATCAGTTTAATAAAGCATCATAAATCTTGTCCCAACAAATGATGTGCATGCTGGTTGCAGCCCTCTATTAAACAGCGTTAGGTCTTTCGTCTCTCCACTAAATGTCAGAGCAATTTTACAGAATTGCTCCCTCATCTCTGGAGGCTGCGGTACGGCTGGAAATCCAGACAGATTTAAGACGTTGAAGGGCAAATGCAGTACATCTGTCAACACGCAGATGTCATGTGAACGTGATCCACTTACAGGGCACTACAGTACAGCCCGCCTCGCACAGAGATTAATTATGAATGGTTTTTAATGCATTCTACTAATATGCAGCAGCTTATCTATGATTTTATATATAGTGGCATATTTTATATTACAGTTGCGTTTCTTTTTTTCTGCCTTCTCTCTCTCTTTTTTTCCCCCCCCTCTCTCTCTCTCTCTCTCTCTCTCTCTCTCTAGTGAGATGAAGAAGGCGCTGGTCGAGGAGGGCAGTCGGTCTGTTTTACTGTCGCGGCAGCACAGGTTTAATGAGCGCTGCTGCATCCGCTGCTGTTCTCCATTCACCTTCCTGCTCAATACCAAGCGTTCCTGCCTGGACTGCAGCTATAACATCTGCAAAAGCTGCTGCACCTACAGTAAGAAGGACAAAGCCTGGCTGTGCTCCTCCTGCCAGAAGACCAGGTCAGTATTGCTGTGCTTCCAATCGCTGTTGTTGTTCAGTGACAGAATGAGCACGAGCTCCGTCAGGAGGGAAACACCTGCAGCTTAACGGCTCGGGATGCTTCTGTTAGTGGATTTTGTGAGATGGAAAAACTAGATGTAAATGACACAGCATCGGATAATTGTTGTATTAGTGATTTTATTATAAATTGACAGTAACTGTCATTATCAGATATTTAATTATGCATGATGATATATGATTATTTATTGTTTTTGTGGGTAGATTATCTTTGCATCATTGAATGCTCTGTTAAATAGATATTATATTTTAAAATAAATGTTTTAAAAGCATTTATGTCATGTGTATGTTAGTATTTGTCAGAATTGCTGCAATTGTTGTGTATAAATGTCCCCTATTAAACAGTTAAGACTGACAGTGTAGTTTTACATTAATCTTTTATAGGTCTAAAGACTAAAAGGGGTTTTCAAGCTTTTAAAGAAAACATGCTTTTAAGTACAGTAGATGTGTAATACAGCTTTACACCCCTACCCCATTCATTAGAATGTGTCCTTTTTTGACCAATGAATAGTTACTATCATACAGTATCATTTTCCCCATAATTTACAGAAGACATTCACCAAAATATCATTATTTTAACTATCGTTAAAAAACTAAAAAAAATATGTTAGTGAGAAGGTCGCTGGTTCAAGCCCTGGCTGGGTCAGTTGGCATTTCTGTGTGGAGTTTGCTTGCTCTCCCCATGTTCACGTGGGTTTCCTCTAGGAGCTCTGGTTTCCCCTACAGTCCAAAGACATGTGCTATAGGGGAGTTGAATTAGCTAAATTGTCCGTAGTGTATGTGTGTGTGAATGCTAGAGTGTGTGGGTGTTTCCTGGTGGTGGGTTGCAGCTGGAAGGGCATCCGCTGCATAAACATATGCTGGATAAGTTGGTGGTTCATTCCGCTGTGGCGACCCCTGATTAATAAAGGGTCTAAGCCTAAAAGAAAATGAAGGAATTTCATATTTTTTAATATGTAGTGTATGTAAAAATATCACTAAAAGACGAGATTTGCTGCTTGTCGATAGTTAGCTGGAGTTGATTTTGTAAAAATAAGCTAATAATTTACTAAATAAATTAAATCCATTGGAATTTTTATTATAGGCGAGGCAGTGGCGCAGTAGGTAGTGCTGACGCCTCACAGCAAGAAGGTCGCTGGTTTAACCTCAGCTCAGTTGGCGTTTCTGTGTGGAGTTTGCATGTTCTCCCTGCCTTCGTGTGGGTTTCCTCCGGGTGCTCCGGTTTCCCCCACAGTCCAAAGACATGCGGTACAGGTGAATTGGGTAGGCTAAATTGTCCGTAGTGTATGAATGGGTGCGTGAATGTGTGTGTGGATGTTTCCTAGAGATGGGTTGCGGCTGGAAGGGCATCCGCTGAGTAAAAACTTGCTGGATAAGTTGGTGGTTCATTCCGCTGTGGCGACCCCGGATTAATAAAGGGACTAAGCCGACAAGAAAATGAATGAATGAATGAATGAAATTTTATTATTTCCTTACTGATACAGCAAAAACAACTTCCTGTGAAGGTCAGGGCTGGTGCTGTGAATGTGAGAATGTGCATCATGTGTTTATGTTCATATGAGTTGTGACTCACGTTGAAGCACCTTTGTAGTCATTTGAAGGTTTGCGAACGTCTGTGTGTCTGAAGGTTTGTTTGCTCTTATGTTTAATGAAAGACAGTAGAATAACTGTTTAGAACTTAGCCTTGCCATTGAGTGTTCGGATAACAGTAATCAGACTTTTCTACAATTATCGCAATAATTATGTGTTAAACAGTTATACGGGCAGCATGCTGTAACATGGCATTGTTCTCAAAGACTGTTTTAATGTCACAGACTGCTGTAGGTCGCAAAACTGCTAAACCGAGACAAAAATATTTTTGTGTGTCTTGCATGCTGATGAGCAAATGTTGGCCTGTAAACACATCCATTTTAATGTAGTGTAACTCCCCTGATTAGTCTAACCAATGGAGATAGAGTTCAAATTAGGATGATTTTATGTGTGTTGTTGGTTTGAATGTGCTTTCACATCATTTTTAATAAAACCCACGGGATTTGAGTATCACACCAATAGAAGGTTACGGTGTCCTACAAAAGTCCTGCATTGAGTTATTTTTACATATTTATTAATTTATTTACAAAAGGATGATTTCTCCTCTTTCTTATCTTTACATAAAGGCTCACACTCACATGCACAGAGATTATGTCCATCAGCGGAATTGAATTTTGATACTGCGCACTAAACATCCACTCCAGATTTATCTCCTCTGTTTGTCATATAATAAGACTGATTGCTCGTTCGTGGTTTCATTCTGAAATCCGAATATCAGCATATTAGATCATCACTCAGTGGAAGTAGGCAATTTCAGTGATGCTATTTATGGACAGAACAGGTTTTTCAGTATTTATCTACAATATACATGATGTACATGAATGTGTGGATTCTGTAGACTAAAGTACATTATGAAATCATGTATAAAAAGCACCTATTACAGAAAAATGATTTTACTGTATGTAAAGATATTTGCGATTATTTTGTCTACAGTAGTTATTGACTAATGCTCAAAAAGGATTAAGGGCCTCCTAAAGAAAAATGACTATGTAGGAAAGATATTTATATTATACATATATTTTATTACATATTATTTTTCAGGGAGTGTCTATACTTTATAGTGAAAGGACACAGAATACTGTTTTAAAACTGAAAACATTGCAGTAGAATCGGCATATTTCCTCAAAAAAAGATATGTAGATCATAGTTGTTGAGCTAATATTGCTAACATGATTGTTCTTAGATTGTAAATAAATGATTATGTGATTATACATTATTGATTGGTAAACTCCTAGTTATTTAGTTTTTATCCCTAGATAATACAAATAAAAATTCATCAGATTTTTTTAATTAAATGCTATTAATAAACTTTAATTACTTTAAATTCAATTCAATTCAAGCTTATTTGTATAGAGCTTTGCACAATAATTATTGTTGTTTCAAAGCAGCATTTACAAAAGGGGAACATTATTACATTACAATCAAAATCAGACAAGTTAAAACATTTTAACATCGATATCACAATGTGATCATTCGCAATAGTCCCTTCGCAGGGTTTGCAATGTTGCGTCTGTATTATAATTGGTCATGTGCTTTTGCGGCCTGTGACTGTATTTTAAAAGCATTCAGGCACAAGGAATTGTACTGTGAGTAACTTTAAAAATGAATAACTGCATTGAATTATTTGTATTTTTATTATTCATTTACTGTATCTGAATACTGTTAGACACAGAAAACGGTAAAAGACTGTTTCAATTGCAGCATTTTCTTTATTTTGATGATCAATGCTTGTAGATTAATTTTCAGATTTTATTCAGAGGAGTCACAGTGGCACAGTGGGTTGCATGAGCGCCTCACAACAACAAGGTCACTGGTTCAAGCCCCGGCTGGGTCAGTTGGCATTTCTGTGTGGAGTTTACATGTTCTCCCCTTGTTCACGTGTGTGAATGAGAGTGTATGGGTGTTTCCCAGTGATGGGCTGCAGCTGGAAGGACTTCTGCTGCATAAAATATAGTTGTATAAGTTGGCGGTTCATTCCGCTGTGGCGACCCCTGATTAATATAGGGACTAAGCCGAAATGAAGATGAATGAACAAATTTTATACAGATGCAAGCTCCTAAAAAATTATCCCAATCAGGCTAAAATTGTTAATTCTTTTCAAATACAAATATTTAAGTCATCTGGTGAAGTTGTATTTGTCATATCGCAATACATATATCGCAGAATAACAAAATATCGCAATGTTGGATTTGTCCAATATCGTGCAGCCCTACTGCAGTTATTTACTGTAGTATATAATAAATCCAGTTCTTGTATAGTATATTTTCCCTCTATTCAATTTTCTCACTTTCATATTGGCAGCTTTTCCTACTGTATACAAACCCAATGAACCCTTATACAGCATATTCCCTGTAGACCATTTCTCTAAAATTACTCATTTTAATTCAGACTATTGTTGGACTTCAGTGGCATGGCAACATGGAGCTATTTGTCTCTCGGGCAGTGCGAGTCTGTGTAGGCAGGTTGAACAGCACACCAGGTCTTATTGAGCATGCTCAGAAGTGCCTATGGCTGTCTACCCTGACCTTTCTCTATATGAATGTATGTGTGTGTGCAATTGTGAAAAAGAGAGAGTTTGATTATAGGACTTTGAGTCTGTGGTTATATTAAATGTCATGCTGTTCAAAGTCATACATACTGTACTTATGTTGTCAAAGTGAAATCTCAAGTATGCTTTTAAATAATGTTGTGTATTTCCAGGCTACTGAAGACCCAGTCGCTGGAGTGGTTCTACAATAATGTGAGAAGGCGTTTTAAAAGGTTTGGCAGTGCCAAAGTGTTAAAGAACCTCTACAGGAGGCATGCGGCTGAGCGTGGAGGACTAGCAGAGCTTACAGGTACTCGCCATCTGGACTCCTGCATGACCTTGCTTAACAATAAAGGAGGTTTTCACACTGTACATTTTATAACACTGTACAGTTTTAACACATATTTGCATATGTATAGTTTGGAGAAAAAAGATCCTGCTTTACATGTTATAGGAGTTTCTACAATTGAAATTTAATGTGTTTCCCTAGAATAACTCAGTTTTGGATTGTACTTTTGTACTCTGTAAGTTTGCATGAACACGTACAGTATTTAGACATAATTCATGAAGGAAAAAACAGGCAGGGTTTCTCGGGTGGTACTTGTGTCCTGTGTATCCGATTTAACAACAGCAGCATGATTTCTGAGAATTATTCAGGTCTGCGGAGGAAAGGTCACTGTGCAGTTTGAAATGATCTGATCAATCCCATATTTCCCTCAGAAAATATATGGACAAATTTGCAGCTTTATGGGTAAAACAGCTTGTCACTGGGGCAGTACCCTTGAAAGGACATCTTCTTTTATGTTTTATTTACCCATAAAAGTTTATTGTAATATCTTAAGGAAGCATATTGCTACTCTAAGATACTAAAAACATCCTAGTGGTAGAAAAGGCGCATGGTTGTTTATTTAAAAGTATTGTCCCAGTGACAAGCTGTTGCAGCCCCAAAGGCACAATTGTGCAATTTTCTATCTGACAGTGAATGATACATACTTACATAAACAGACACAATTATTTAGTCACTTGTTTGTCTGCATTTTAAGAAACGACTGTATATTTTGTTCACCCAAACAGATGTTTATGAGGAATTAAGCATTCAATTTACTGAAAAATGTACGAAACTTCACATGTATAATATTATTTAACATAATATTAATAATATTTAACTTTTTTAGCCATATTTTCCAACCATCCATGCATCTTTTTCTAACGTCTTGTTGTTCATCCACTCAGCAATCCATCTTTTCAATCAATTCATCCATCAATCTTTTGTAATATCTTTTTTGTCTGTCCTCCCAGCAATCCCATCTTTTCCAGCCATCCACCCAGATATTCAACTATCTATATATCCATCCATCTCCTCTATCCATCTTTTTAAGCCATCCTTCCAGCAAACCATCTTTTTCCATCCATCCATCCATGCATCTTTTTCCATTAATTTATCCATTCATCCATGCATACATTTTTATAACGTCTTGTTGTTCATTCACCCAGCAATCCATCTGTCTATTCATCTTTTCAATCAATCATCCATCAGTCTTTTCTAACATCTTTTGTCCATCCTCCCAGCAATCCATCTTTTTCAGCCATCCATCCAGATATCCAACTATCTATATATCCATCTATCTCCTCTAACCATCTTTTTTAACCATCCATCCATCCATCCATCCATCCATCCATCCATCCATCCATCCATCCATCCATCCATCCAATCATCCATCAATTAATCTCTTTTTAACATCTTTTTCCATTCATATATCCATTCATCCATCCATTAATTGTAATAACGTCTTGTTTATCCACCCAGCAATCTATCATTCGATCCTTCTTTTCAATCAATTCATCCATCAATTTTTTCTGAGATTCTTTTAGTTCATCCTCCCAACAATCCATCTTTTCCAGCCATCTATCCATCTCATCTAACCATCTTTTTAGCCATTCTTCCAGCAATCTATCTTTTTTTACCATTTTATCCATCCATCCATCCATCCATCCATCCATCCATCCATCCATCTATCCAACCATTTTTTTCTAACTTCTTGTTGCTCATCCACCCATCAATCAATCAATCAATCAATCAATCAATCAATCAATCAATCAATCAATCCATCCATCAATCTTTTGGATCTTTTTTGTCCATCCTCCTAGAAATCAATCTTTTTCCAGCCATCCACCTAGATATCCAACTATCTATATATCCATCCATCTCCTCTAATCATATTTTTTAGCCATCCATCCAGCAATCTATCCAATATTTTTCAATTGTCCATCTATCTTATCCATCCATCCATCCATCCATCCATCCATCCATCCATGCATCCATCCATCCATCCATCCATCGTCTTTTAATTAAATAAATATTATAGAAAAAATATGTAATTTATTAAAATAAATGTAAATGGCATGGCTAATCAGGGCAGTTACATCACAGCCATGTCTTGTTTTGTTCACTAGAATACACACAATGTGCAGTTGTAGAAAAAACACACACTGCCTCTTTGTATGGAAGTGTAAACAAAAATCTGAGTGATTACTTTCCTCTTCTGCACCAGCTCAAAGCTCCTTTACTTGTGTTGTGGCTTTTAAATGAGTTATGACCTGTGCTCAGCCTCCATTTCAGTTCTGCTGTGGTCAGTGAGCTGAGAATGTCTTCAGCATGAAGGGGAACGCAGTTAAAAGCAAGGCCAGAGGCACATTAACAATGGATGACCATGACTGTGGATGTTTGTCACCTCAGCAGACCTCTGTAACCTCAGAGGAAGAACAGCTCCCTGTAGAATAGAGTAAAAGCGTTGCACTGACAATGAAAAATGAAGAGCTTTGGCCACAAAACACACCGCCCTGTTTGGTTAGGCCTTGGAAATTTGATGCAGAGAAAAGCTAGAAGATAATCTGTTTGAGTTTAGTGCTAAGAATGGAGCAATAAGCTTATAGCATTATAGGATAGGTTTTTAAGCTGCAACATCAGTCTTCAGCTTTAGCTCATAGAAAAGGCTAGATTCATAACATTATTTTGATTTACTTTGCCTAGAAGAGAGTAGGCGTAAATGTTGACTTAAATGTAAAGGAAAGGTGTTTTCACACAGGGCTAGCCAGAGAGTTCAAAGGCTGTTTGACCTTCATCGGCTCGCTTTAAATGGCTTTATGTGGAGCTGAGGACATATTGATATGTCAGTAGTTGCCCATCAAATGATTTGTCATTCGACAGCTCTTCGAGGATGAGACAGTGTCTGTCAGAGAGAAACCTGTGGAGAGTGCTATTAAATCATGTCAACAAGCTGAAAGTGCTGTCAAATCTCTGGGTTTTGCACAGAAACAACTTGTCAACAAAAACATGTTGTAATATTTGATGCTCATGTTTGGTTTTGTCAGTAACACAATAAAAAAACAAACAGTAAGGATACATTTTTGTGTAAATAAATGAAATAAGATTTGGGTTTCTAAGGTTTATTGACTGGTGTCACTTTAGGAGTGCACAGAACTAATTTACTAACAGGCATTTAAATATGCCAACTTTCACAATGTTTATGTTTATTTTCCAACTTTGTTTATGTTCACTATGGGCGTAACTCACTGCATTTAAATAAAAACTCAACAAAAACCCCATTCTAACATATTTTATGTGCATTTGTCCATTTAATCACACAATTGAAACACTAGAAACTTTTCTATAATTTGCTTCATCTCAGATTGCGTGCACAGAAAGCCACGTAAGTGAAATTGTGAATTGAAAATAAATCATAAACTAATTCTGAAAAACTGCATATTATAACCTCACCTCTGGGCAAACTCGTCCCTGAAGGATCTGTGTCCTGCAGAGTTTAGCTCTAACCCTAATCAAACACACTTGCCTATATGTTTCTAGTGATATTCACAACACTGATGAATAGGTTTAGGTGTTTTTGATTTGTGTTGGAGCAAAATACCGGAGAACACCTTCCCTCTGGAATGAGTTTGCCCATTCCTGCCCCAGAGTGTGAAGGGGTGCACTGACACTATTTTATCCGAACCATGCCCAGGTGTGTTTCCCGGTTTCTTTGACAAGTGTAAGTGCTCTGAATTGGGCTTAGACGCAGTTCAAATGGCCAGCCCTGTCCCAGTTTAAAGAGGTGTGCCAGAGCGCGGTTCGGTTGGGCTTTGGCGCAATACGCTTGTAGCGAAATACCCCACAATTAATCATTTATAACTCTTTGAAGCTGCCTTTTTTAGGCTTTGCTTCAAATTGTGCCATTTTGGTGACTGTTGCTTTAAATTTAAATGAGATTGTGCTCCCAGCCTCATTAAAAAATAATCTTCAGCAATAACCATGTGAAAAGTGAATGGTGGATGGCTGCTTCTCACTAAGGGCTATTTATGGTAATGAGGAAGAGATAGTCATTAATGGACGGGGCTTTCCCCCTCAGATGAAATACAGAGAATACCAATCAAAGTGTTTCTGCAGACTGTTTTTCTGAAGTTTAATAATGAAAAATATAATAAATTTTAACCATCTGAAGCTGGCTATATTCACACAATGTTTCCACACAACTGTGTTTAAACCTCTTGCATATTTTGCATAATAGGTCCCCTTTAATGCTTAGACAACATGGCAATGTTTGAATTGATTTAAAAAATAATGGATATACATGAACCTACTAAAATCTGATTTTTAAAATGGCTCATTGCGATTCATTTTATGCATATCTGTAATTGAAACCAAGCTAGCTCTTTCGTTACTCAATGCGTATTTTTTTTAAATTCTGAGCATGTCAGTCAGGATACTGTATATTGAGACAGTCAGTCTTGCATGATTTCAAATAATTTGGGCATTACACAGAAAAGGTTTTGTGATGAACTAAACTGTATTACTTTTTACCCCAACAGAGGGCAGTGCGTATGAGGAGAGTGTCTGCAATGAGAGTAGCGTCTATGAGAGCGACAGCACATTCTACAAACAAATCGAAGGTTTGAGTACAAATCAAAACTGCTTTGATACAAATGTATGGCTGTTGCATCAGTAGTTTTGGATTATATGGATAGATTACTCAAAATTGAAACTGCAATCTTCTACTCATCCTTTGCTTGATTGGAGCCTGTTTGAGCTTCCTTCATCTGTTGAACACAAAAGAAGATATTTTGAACGCATGGATTATTTTTCTCCTAATATGGATGTCAATGATCAACTGATTTCCTGCATAAAAATATCTCCATTTGTTGGCAGTAGAAAAAAGAAACCTATAAAGGCTTAAGTAAAACTACTTGAAGGAGAGTACATGAGAACATTTTCATTTTTTGGTTGAGCTATTTCTTTAATGAGTTTCATTCTGTGAACATTTGAACACTTTTGAGTGCAGTCACAGTATGTGGCACATATAGCATCTGGTTCAGAGCTTTTTGTGAAGGCTGAATGATTATTTCAGAGCACAGCATGGCTGAGACTATTAGTGTGGCACTGCGGGTGGCAGAAGAGGCCATAGATGAGGCCATTGCTCAGGCTGAAAGCCAGACTGACAATCAAGTAAGACTTTCCCATTAATATGTTCAGGATTATTCATTCATACTGTCTGCTCAGAAACTTTTGGATATTTTCTTTTGAAGGAGAAGCAGAATGAAGCTCAATATCTGCGGCAGAACAGAGGAGAGCTAATAGAAGAATTGGCCAAAACTATAGTGGAGAAAGTGAGTAACATGTTAGCAATGACCTTGAGTTTGATCTTTTACTTTTGATATATGATTTGATATGAATCTCTGCCACATCACAACCTTGTGTGTGCAATAATTTCTAATAATTAAAAGGACATCATCAGTTACTTCATACATAATATTACTGTTTTACTGTGTTTTAGATTAAATAAAGGCAGCTTTAACCTTTTTAATTGTATTTAACACAGAGGATTCATTTAAATTAATTCAGTATTTTTTTAATGTATAATTAGTATGATTAGAGTATATGTATATTTCTATACTCTTGATTTGACATCGAAAAGATTGTTTTATATAAAAAGCAATATTTAATATAATAAATTATGTAATGATTATTTGCTTCGTTTTAAAAATTGTATAATTATTTGAAGCAAGATTGACTGTTTCTATGAATTATTTTTTGCTGATTATAAAAATATTTTACTGTCAGATTGTCCGGCGGAAGAGGGATCTGTCTGAGATAGAATCTGGATGTAATGTGGAGCAGAACCGGGATGAGATTTCTCCAGATCAAATCCAAAAGGCCTTCGATGCTGCTCTCTGGGTAACCTGCCCTTTTATTTCTTCCATTACCAGTTTTGTCCACTTTTGAGATGCACTATTGATTGCGCTGACTCTGTATAGTGGTTTTTGGATGGTTCATTTGCTTCGGTGTTCGCGGAATAAATCTTCTCGTCTCTCCTCAGAGGTCTCGCTCAGCTTTCTGCCTCCTGACTGATGAAAAAACAGATCATCACAGTAACACCGGGTCAAGGCCTTCATCATCTAAAAGCCATGCTCTGGAAATGACAGAAACATTGCCTGTCCAAGCCATGCCAAGCTGGAGGAGTGTCGACCGACTGGACAATTCAAGTTAGATTTTTTTTTACTTAATGGCTATTTACATAAAGAATTAAAACTAAGTAACACCAATGGACAATGCTCTTAATTTTATTAACATTGCATGATGCCTATTGACATTTAAAATGCTTTTAATTTTTTATTATCAATGTAGTGTGAACTTTACTTTTTCCAAAAAATTCAATAAAAAACAATTATTGTTATTATATATTATATATAAAACAATAATTGCTATTGTTTTCATCCTTGGTGTGAACAAGCCTTTAATTTATTAAATGTTCTAAATGTGGTATCATTTAAAACCCTCAACATTCAAAAATCATCCTGTGTACAGCATTTTTTTTTTAAATTCAAAATTGCATTAACCTGCAAATGGTACTTTAAGGATGCTTGGATGTTGTCATGTTTTAAATATTACTGCATGAATTTATTATTGCACTTTCTCTTTTTATTTTAAAATAAAGGTTATAATTTAACTGACATCCATGGGCTGTTTTCAGGTATAGGACTTATTTAACATTTCACAATAACCACCATTTTGGTGGTATCAACTTCAACTTGGTTAGACATATGATTTTAAAGTTATTTAAACATCCAAATAATTTCGCAAAATAAATATTTTGTGTATGTTTGAAAAAAGTGCAGTCCATTTGCTTTACTGTGAATATAAATGTCTGTATCTTTTTACACTTGAATCATTTTTTTGGCCCAAACTTATTCCGATAAAAATTTCAAGTTACAAGTTACACATTGCAACAGTTCAGTTACGTTTGTATGTCTGTGCTCAAAGAGCCTGATTGTTACATTGCCATCCAAAGATGTCCTAAATTTATGGTCTTTGGTGATAAGGTGCAAATTAACTGTTATACAACGATCCCTCGCTATAACGTGGTTCACTTTTGGTAGTCTCCCAGTTTTGCTGATTTTTATTTTCGTGCAATTTGACATGCTTTTTTTCTATAACGCATTGTGTTCTGCGTCTTGATTAGCACACTGTAGACCTGTCTGTAGACCATTGTCAGTCAATTTCCTTGGTGTTGTGTCTCCTGTATAGTACAGAATGCATTCAGCTTACTACATTTACATAAATCTTAGATCACTAGCAAATCACTAGCGGTTCTGCACCGTCAAAGGCTGAGTTGAACTTCTGGATGTGATAAAGGAAGGTAGAAGTTACGCTTTGAGGTAGAAGCTAAACTTTAAGAGTGTTTAAACGAGAAAAAAGTGTGAAGATGTTAATGCCTGTCTGAGAAAAGTGTATAAAGTGTGTAAGGGGTTTTCCAGCCTTAAAACATCTATAATAATTGTAACAATAAAGCTGACCACTTTGCGGTTTTCATCTATTGTAGGTTATTTTTAGAACCACTTTAGGACCACTGTACAGACAAAGCTAAATTAATAGCTGATACACTGATGCCTTATGATTCACCTCTACAGTTTTTGTTTTCAGTTAAAAATGATCAGTAATAATGTAGACACCATTTTACATTACACCTAAGGGTGAGCAAATTAAGAGCAAATCTTTATTTGGTGAAGGTCATCATGGTAGAATAACTCTTGCTTATAACAGGGAGATTTTTAATAACTGTACTTAACTGTAACTGTTGAATATATTTACATACTACTCAATGTATCTAAATGTTGTTCATGTATATGTCTCAGTGTTACAGAGTCCTGATGGGAACTGGATTGCATATCAGAGCAATCTGCTCTCTCGACCAAGTCTTTTAACCAAGCGCAAGAGTCTGGTGTACAGTGTTTTAGAAAAGGAGTCTGGTGTGGTGTCAGCTTATGATGACATGGGTTCAGAAACAGAGCCTGAAGCTAATGGGGTCTGGGGCGCTGCACTGGTTGAGCTTCAACTTAAAATGTCTGCCAGCAAACAGCTGACTTGCCCAGAATCCTACAGCCGGCAAGCAACCTTACCTTTGCATGCACAAGCACAATGTTTTACTGAGAACAATATTGACACTGAAAACTCCTCAGGACCGGATGGGCCGATGTCTCAAAAAACTCTGCTGCCCTTTCTGAAGAGAAAAGTACCACTGGAACACAGACGACCCGCATCAATACGCCGGCCAAACGTCTTGGATGTGAATTTCAACCCAGAAGGAGCTGAAAGCAGTGAGGATGGACTAGAGGACAGCAGAGTCAAGAGGTCACGGCGGCGGAGGAAAAACAAGAGAGAGGACGCAGAGTGGAAAGGACAGTCAGGACTGCCTTTGGCTGAACCGGTGAGTTTTTTATATTTTGAATATTCCTGTACGGTATAGATTGTTTTCACATGACTTCATTGATGATGCGTGAAACTCAGATGGAGGGCAGGAAGTGACTCTTCTACATAGAAATCACTATCAGAACATCAAAATGTTTCTGTTATATGTTTTTTTTATTGTTTAAATGGGCTAAAATAAGAAATGCTGAGCAGCTTTTATAGACTTCCAAAGTTTTTTGCTCATAAAGCGGGAACATTTTAAAAAATGGCTGAAAACGGAAGAAAAGGCGGCAAGTAATAAACATTTATTCAATACATCTATGTGTACAGCCTGTTTTTGAAAACGATAATTCGTTCGACAGAACTAACAAATATTATATACAAGCCTAGCTATGTGTATTATATGTTAAAGTGCTAGATAAAAATCAGATACACACACCACCACACGTCTACAAAATCCAGGAGAGCATAAATTAACTACCCTGACATGTAATCGCTGCAAAGAAATATCGATCTTGTTTAGCAATAATCCAAGTCTTTACTAGTGTTTTGGTGGAATAAACAACTATAACATGAACACAGATGTGCAGCTGTTTGTTCATGGTAAGTTTATTGACCAAACAAAAAAGAAATACAACCCTTGTCACAAAACTAGATATTTAGAATTGTGGAGCATTTTTCCTCCTTACAAAAAGAAATAAATAATAATGTAGACTACGCATATATGCTTTTGTATGCTTTCATCTGTTACTTTGTGATATCTGGAAGGTATCCACATGGGGAAAAAACTATATTAATTTGACCAAACAAATAAGAAATGCAACCTTTGCGACAATACTAGAAGGTTATTATTGTGGAGCACCTTTTTCCTCCTTAAACAAATTATAATAATGTAGACTATGCGTTCACGCTTATGATTGCTTTCATCTGTTATTTTGTGATATCTGCAGAATATTCACATGGGAGAAAACTATAGTAATTTATAATAAACAGGTTTTTGTACCACAAAGGAAAGTGTATGTGTACAACTCTTTGTTAATAAATGCTACTTAATGTTGGAGCATAGTAAACTGATTTACTGTAATAAATAACGTTAGTGTAAACTGTGGTGTATTGTGATGGTGTATTATTATAAAAACTGAAGCCTATTGAGTAGTTTGTTTATTACTACAGTAGTTTCATACAAAAATATAATTACTACGACAATTTAATTCAATTAATTATCTACAGTTTGCTTTTAAACACTAACACTATTGTATTTTATTTTTTCATGTAACGTGATAGCTTATACAGTATATACCGCCTCGATGACAGGCAAAGATACTTTAGTTTAGTAGAAAACTCAACCCTCTTCATGATATAAGGATCATGCCCAACATATGAGGTTATTTTCTATTGTCTCCTTTAAAATGTGGTATAAATTTCAAAAATAATATAGGCTTAAAAAGGCAAGAGGTGACTGGAATAGCACAGTACAAATATAGAAGTGAAAACAACCAGAACTGAACAAATAGACAAACTTAAATAAACAAATATACTCAACTCAAATAAAACAAGCTAGGGATTATTTAAGGAATATTTCTCATCTTGAACACTGAAGAATGTTTTGAAAATTTAAAATTACCATTGACTTAAATTGATATTTTGATACTTTAAATGGATATTTATAAGTTAAAATCATAACGTTGACATGCCTGAAATGCAAAAAATGTTAAATGTTACTTTAAAAAAAAGATTTCATACATTTTAGATTGTATTTTATGTATTTATTTAACCTTAAACGACTTTGATTCTTCATTGTCAGGATTCCAGTACCCTACCCTCAGATGCTCAGCCAAAAAGATGGTATATGAAACAAGACTCAGCCGACACTTCAGACACTGCTACCCCTGACATCCTGAGCTCTGGAGCCACAACCCCTGATCCCTTTGGACCTGATCTCAATGCTTATGGATCTTTAGATCAGGAGTTGACTTCCAAACTGAAAGAACTAACCAGTCAAGTCCGAGAAACACAACTCTCCTCTACTGAGGATGAACTGGACAGGATGGAGTTTCGAATGTGGAGTGAAAAAGATAAAGCAAAGTCAAAAGTGGGAGAGGAAGTTATGGAGGACACTTTCTTGAAGGTTGCAAAAGAAACATCAGGTGAAACGGAATCTACAAATCCAGGGAGATATATTGAGATATTGAATGAAGATGATCTGACCATCAGACTGAGAGAACTGACCAGTGAGGTCACCGAGACTCAACTTTCCTCCACTGAAGATGAACTAGATAGATTTGAGTGTCAAACTAAAACCAAATGCCTAAATCAATCAATGAGAACAGAGACAGTAGAGGTAGATGACAGGGCAGATGGAGAAAGATTCAAAACACATGACAATAAACCCCACAACCATGTAGAGAAGATGGTTGAAAAAGCAGAAAAAGAGCGATCAGAGAAAAGGGACCATGTGGCAAATCAGGACAGTAGTGAGCATAATAACACAGATGAGACTCAAATAAACTCTGGGAGACAACAACAAACAGTTGTGGATGCAGATGCACAAAATGAGAGAGCCAGCAAAATAATTAAGCAGACAAAGAACAAAAGAGAAGTCGAGACTAAAGGAAGAGAAGCAGAAATAAGTGATGTGGTTGAAGGTCAGCAGAGCCGAGCCGAGAATACAGATCTGGCTCTCAATAGATTTGTAAGTGAAGATGGAAATATGGAATTTGATCGGATCATCGATACTGTAGTGAAAGCTTTGGGTGACATGGAAGAACACATAGAGGCTTACACTAGTGAGGGGGTATTTTTAGACAGAATGGGAAGTGAGGCAGAGGAACCAGAGATGATGGATGAGGGGGAGAAAGTAACAGAACAGAAAACCGATGACAAGGCAACATTTGTGGGATGCGTTGTTAGTGGGAACCTGATGGATGAACAGGAAAAAGAAATTAATGAAGAGGCCAAAACACATGAAGTTCTGACACTAAAAAGCAGCAGTGGATTTACTGAGGACACTGAAGACAAGCAATGCATCACATCATTAGAAGATAGAGTTCAAGAGAAAGATGGCAACAGGCAAAGTGAAGAAAAAGAGGAGCAGAAGCAACTGATAACATCGCACAGCACCTCCTCTTTTCAGGAGTATCTGACACCGGATGAGATTTACAAGGTACTATACTCCCACCGAGCAATTTTATGTATATAAACCATCTAAACATAGATTACTAGAGCAAAACAAGGCTAAAATTGGGCTGTGAGTGAAATCTAACTATAATCCAATAACAGACTAGTCACCAAAGAGTGTAGTCATTCATTCATGTCTATTTGTAGACTATTGTTAGACATGCATTAGATTTTCAATTACAGGCCACTTTTGCTGTGTTTTAGCCAAGATGTCTGTGTTTGGATGTGTATTAGACATCTTAAACCCAAATAAGCCTGCTGGGAACTATTAGTCATGGGGGAAAAAAGCTTTTAGAGACTTGAACAAAATTGTTTGCTTAATATATCGGATTCGGACTCAGAGTATTCAACATGCCAGTGGTGTAAAGGTGGAAAGTGCAGATGAGTGGGGTAAAATGAGCCATTTTGTACTTATATGGACCTCATGGCAAGGGAAAAAAAGGCAGAAGCAAAAGCTTTTCAATTAATTTTAGGATGTTTCTTTTTAATTTAAATAATGATGGGCGGCACGGTGGCTGAAAGTCACTGGTTCGAGTCCCGTCTGGGCCGTTTGGCATTTCTATGTGAAGTTCGTCTGTTCTCCCTGTGTTCATGTGAGTTTGTTCTGGGTGCTCTTCTGGGTGCCCCACAATCCAAAGACATACTCCATATAATAATTGAATAAACTAATTTGTCCATAGTGCAATGTGTGTGTGTAAATGAGTGTGTATGGGTGTATGGGTTGTGGCTAGAAGGGCATCTGCTGCGTAAAACATATGCCTGAATATTTGGTGATTCATTATGCTGTGGCGACCTCTGAAATAGAGACTAAGCCAAATGAATGAATGAATGAATGTTGATCATACGATAAGGATAAAGTGTTTTAAACACGGTTTATTATATAAAAAATGTTGCTCAATTTGCCATAGATTAGGGGTAAATTGATCTACGGCAGTGGGCAAATTGACCAGCCATGTCAATGAACATTGATAAAACTAAAGATTCATTCATTCATTTTCTTTTGGCTCAGTCTTTTTATTTATCAGAGGTCACCACAGCAGAATGAACTGCCAACTTATCCAGCATATGTTTTTCACAGCAGATGCTTCCACCCTTTCAAGAAATTATACGTTTGGGTCCAAAATGTATGGTCATATGACATGATACAGGGCCCACTGGCTCATCTTACCCCACACTAGCCTAAAATCAGAAACATCAATCAACCAATAATCTAAAATATTTAAATATGAAATATTAAATTGTTCATAAGAGATAATCTGTTCTTCCTTTTTATTCTTTCCTTGTCAATAAAATGTTGATCCAATACTGATACACAATCAGATAAAAGCCATGATTCTTTAGTTCAAGAGTTCTCACAGATCAACATGTTTTGAAACGGTTGTAACAGTAAAGCCTTGTTTACTGAAACTGTGACTTCAGCAATTTGAAATGAGCTCCGAATCATTGTTTCAACACATATTGCTACAGTAAATTAAAAGCTACAGGCTGCTTGCTTGCAAATAACTTGCTTCATTTCATCCACTAATTAAGCTTCTCTGAAACTCTTTCCTTGTTTCTTTATATCTCCTCCTTTGTCTTCTTCTTTTCAATTTTTTTAGGGTGCACATGTGCTGGACATAGAGAAAAATCTACATTTTATCTCCAATATACTACACCAGGTGATGATTGTATGCTAATATTAACTGGATGAATTCATCATAAGTTTTTACTTGGCTTTGCATGTTCTTTATTTCTGAACATTTTCCATCTTCTTTTCACACACTTTTCACTGTGCATTGTGCTTTCATTTCACATATTTTACGTTCTGTTTGGGCTGAGAATGTGTTGCAAAAAAAAGGAAAAGTCGGGTCCAAGTAGAGGTCATGATTACAATGGCCAATTAGAGACGCCTTAACCTGCTCAGTGTTGCTCAAATGGAGTATTTGTTTTCAACATCAGCTCACAACATTTTTCGCATTTATGAATTACACTCTAAAATGTGGACGCAGAGTAAATGACTATGAAAGAACATTTTCCATACAAGTCGTAATTATGAGATACAAAGTCAAAATTTTGGCACGACAACTAAGCATTTAATTTTTTGTCATAATATGATTACATTTATGACTGATGTCGTAATCGGCTGATGTCATGACTAGTTTGTCAACATTTTATGTTTACTGTATGTTTTAATTGGGTCATTTAATACTTTTTGCTTTTTTATATCTCATAATAATTCATTGGTTTCATAACTTTGACTTTTTAGGTCATGAATCTCATCTAGCAAAGTCACATTTTTTTCTTGACAAATCTTTTTGTTTCATACTTTTTGTGCCATTTACAGTATATCTCATTTACTTTATTTACTTTGACATCATAATTGTAACATTGGGGCTGCTCAATATACCGCTTTAGCATCGATATTGCAATGTGCATTCACAATAGTCACTTGCAGGATCTGCAATGTAGAATTTGGATTGTATTTGATCAGCAGTGTGTTATTTTACATTTTTATGTAGAGTAATAAAGTCTTAGACGGGTGTAGCATCTCATATTTTTGATGAAAGCGCCTTAAATTTACAAATTAAATAACGTTTTTTGTAGAGCTCACCCAACTTTTACCTTACTCCAATGCCTGCTCAGTAGTGCCCCCTTATTTTACATTTTACATTACAGTTGGTTATTCAATAATAGGGGTGAGACAAAATATTGATATGCTAAATTAATTGTAATAATTCTGCCCCCAAAATGCATTATCAATTTATCCAAGTATCGATAGTTATTAAAAGGTTCATCAGCCTTGCACTGCTACTGTTTACCGCAGTACTTGCGGTGGCACGAAAACACATCAGTGTTGCAATTTCACAAAATATATGTGCTGTTAATAAAAGAAATGCAACCTATATATTTTTGATGCATTTTTTGCCCTATCATTACATATCATGATATATTGTGGATGGTTTTCTGATCTACCATCGTCATCATCGTCATTATCAATATCAGGGGCAAAAATATCATAATAATAACGTGTCATATTACTGCACCTGAATCTGACTACTTATTTCATTTTTATTTTCTGTCTTATTTATTTATGTTTGTAATTTGCTTGATTCACTCGGCTACAAGATTATTCCAATTAATCTAAACGATTGATTTCATTTCAAATAGAGTTATTCTACTCATCTGCCTAAATTGTATTTATATCAGTGCATATATATATATATATGGAGAAAGGAGCTGTAAATATTACATATTCAACTCAAATGCATATTAATGACAATGAATGAGGCTTAAAGTCACATAGTAAAATGTAAATTAGGGCTGCAAAATAGTATGGAGCTAATAATATGCCTAAACAATCTGCATTTGATTCCCAGGGATGGGTTGCGGCTGGAAGATATATATGATATATATATATATATATCAGAAAAATAAAATATCGCAATGTCAGATTTTATTAATATCGTATGGAGCTAATAATATGCCAAAACAATCTGGATTTGAATTTTGTTAATTGAGATGATTGTGAGATGTAATTGAAATAAATATATGAATTTGGTTCACTGAAGCATGTACTGTATATTTATTACACAAACTACTGAAAATAGCTGACCCCCAATAGTCAGTTTGCAGAAGAATTGTGTCTTCCTGAGCCTCACATACGCCAGAAAACTCATGCAGCTCTGTGATTGGCCAAAATGCTTAGTTTTTTTTTTTTCCAGTCACTTTTTGGTGATTGTCTACTCTTCCCTGTTGATCACTTCTGACCTACTTTCTGCTAAATCTGAATTTCTTCATCTTAAAAACATGAAACTGTAGTTTTACAAACTGTATATCTGCAGTCTATGAATTCAGAACCAAAATTTGAAAATACGTCTATAAAAAATTCAGCCTTGAAAAATTCAATTGTCTTAAATTTCAAATGTTCAATACTCAAATTATAAAATTCAAATTAAGAAAATCAAATTCAAATTAACAATTTAAAATTCAAAACAATTTTGACGGCATATAAAGTTCAGATTTATTAAATTACAATTGTCAATAATTCAAATTAACATAATTCAAATGCAGATTCATTCATTCATTTTCTTGTCGGCTCAGTCCCTTTATTAATCCAGGGTCGCCACAGCGGAATGAACCGCCAACTTATCCAGCAAGTTTTTACGCAGCGGTGGCCCTTCCAGCCGCAACCCATCCCTGGGAATCAAATGCAGATTGTTTAGGCATATTATTAGCTCCATACTATTTTGCAGCCCTAATTTACATTTTACTATGTGACTTTAAGCCTCATTCATTGTCATTAATATGCATTTGAGTTGAATATGTAATATTTACAGCTCCTTTCTCCATATATTTATCTTAAATAGAAATACTCCGCCTCATCACTGCGCAGCATCACCACAGAAGTGCTGAAAGTCTTAAACGCCACCGAAGATCTGATTCACGGCTCTATGGAAGAAGAACAGCCCAAAGTAGATCACAGTGACCTCTCCAGCATTCCCCCCGCTGAGGCCAGAAGACTGGACGAGCAGCTCAGCAGACTAGAAGAGAACGTACTGAGCCTCACTGACATCTACATTTCTTTGGTCATTATGGGCTGTTTAACAGTTTATTTTCTGTCTGGTGTGTGCAGGTGTATGTGGCGGCAGGTACAGTGTTCGGGCTGGAAGCTGAGCTGGGGGATCTTGAGGAGTGTGCGCGCGGCATTAGCGGATCCAGCACTGAACTTGAGCTGGCTCATCTGGAGGATCAGGTGGCCTCAGCAGCAGCTCAGGTGCAGCAGGCTGAGCTCCAGGTGCGTTCGGCCTGGACGCTGTGCTCTCGCTCGCTCGCTCACTCTATCAATCGTTTTACAGTAGCTGCATCTCAGAGTAACACTCCATTTAATCAGCAGTATTATTAAAGGCACAATATGAAAGATTTTATTTTGTTAAAAGATCAAAAATACAAAAAACACTTAGGGCAGGATTACATATTTTGCTGACTTACAATTGAAGTCAGAATTATTAGTCCTCCTAAAGTATTAGCCCCCCTGTAAATATTATTTTCCCAATTTAATTTCCCTCTTAACAGAAAGAAGATTTTTTCTCAAGACATTTCTACACATAATAGTATTAATATCTCATTTCTAATAACTGGTTTCTTTAACCTTTGCCATGATGACAGTAACTTAGAGTAATTAGGAAAGTCATTGTATAACAGTGGTTTGTTTTGTAGACAATGAAAAAAAATATTGGTTAAAGCTTATTTTCCTTGCTTTGTTAAACATCATTTAAGAAATATTTAAAAAAGAAAAAAATTCACAGAAGGGGTAAACATTTTGACTTCAGCTTTATGTACTTACGTCATCCCAAATTTTTCAAAGACTGTTCAAATCCAGAGAAATAAGCAAATCTAGTGACACTGTGTCCTCTTGTATCATCATGCTAGTGATGTTATACACCCTTGATTTCTGGTTTGGTTTTTATAAAAAGAGGGAAACTCCAAAGATGCTTTATTTTGTTGTGTGGGTTTTAGACTGCAAAGAGCAGCTTTGCAACAGAACCCTTACAATGTATTTTCAGGTAGTAAAATAAAACAGCGCTGCTTCTTCCTCATGTGATCACAACCAGAAGAACCGAACTTTGGCATAATAAAAGCTCTGCTGCTTTTCTGTCTCATCATGTTTGCTTCTCATCAGCGATTGCTTCAGTGTTCTCATTTCGCTTCGACAGCTTTTAGCTTTCCTCTGCCTCATACCACTGTAATAATAACATTTAATGGATAAAACACATACAACTGGAATACAATACAACTATGCATCTTTGTCAACATGCTCCCTCTATTGGCAAAAACGACATGCTGTGCCTTTTACACAATTCTTTTAATCGTCTGATATAAAATATAAAAATAATTCATTCAAAATATACAAAGTATAACATTTCAGTTACAGTATTAGTACTGTTGAATTTTAGGATTATTAATACACTAGGAAAACATACTTGTAAATGTACTTATTATCAGAAGAAGGTCTGACAAGAGGCCATCATTTTTTATCAGATAATAAAGCTGTCTATTGATAATGATCTCTAGTTGGCATGTAGTAGCAAAGTAAAAATGTATTGTTTATTGTCTAAATGTTTGTATGAAAAAAAAGTGTTACCAAACATTTATTTGACTTACATCACATGCTAATCTTTGTTTCTTAAACTTATATAAACTTTTATATTTAGTTAGACATGTTGAATTAAAATGTTACTTAAACCTAATTTATTTCATTTGTTTTCTAGGCAATATGTTGAGTTTTTAAACTTTATTTTAAGCCGTTGTCTAGACAATATTTTCAATTATAATAAACACATTGTTTTACAGTAGATAATTGTCTAGGTATAATGACTGATTTTTTTGTGTTGCTTTTAAACAAAGTTTGTTGTTTTGGTTAAAATACTAGTTTGTTTTTAGCGCAAAAATGACTAACTTTATCTGAAATAAAATAAAAGCTGAATAGAATTATTAAAAACACAAAATTGCTAAAAAAAATAAACAAATAATACACACACACACTCACATATTATATATATATATATATATATATATATATATATATTTTTTTTTTTCCAAATTAAAAATATATTTAAATAAAAATAGAAAGTATTAAATAAAAATATTTATTCAATATATTAATACAGTTTGTAATAAAATATTACCAAATAATGACAGGTTTAAAACAACTATTTAACCATTCGAACCAGGGAGTCACACAACTTCCAATAACATTTCACATAACAAGTCATTTCTGTACAAAGCAGAACAGCCATTTCAATATCTGCTTGCCTTCATCTGTGTTATTTCTGTTTTCCAGGTTTTAGACATTTCCTCAAGAATTGCCGCTTTGAAAAATGCAGGTTTGAATGTAACTCCACAGACCAAATTCATCAAGTCCAAGACTGCAAAAATCAAGGTCTTCATATTTTCTTGTAAAGAAGTGACATTCTTGCAAACTTTTCTACACCCTTATATGACTATAACTGACGTTATACTTGTTTTAGACACAAACCATCGGCTCATCTCGAAGACTGCGGCGGCGACTACCAGCTCCTCCAAAACAAGGTAATTGTTGATAATCGATAATGATGAATGATGTTTCCTGTTTTAAAATGCTTCAGAAACGACATTCTTCGTCTTTAAATCACCTGATTTATTTCTATTATATTACTCAACATCTACAGTTATTAGCGTTCAAAACATCCAAAATGATTTAAATTTTCTATTATATCTGTACATTTCAGATAAAGACACATAGAGAGTATAATGGAAGCAAGTATTACCACATGGTTAAACAACTACAAAGCCACTGATCACATGTGCCTTCAAGCTGATGGCTCAATGCAGATGTTTTCTGAACTCAAGCACGGGTTGGAAAGACTGAAATGGATTGATGTCACTCTTACAATGAAGCCATGGATCAGGTCGCTGTAGTACCTCTCTCTCTCTCTCTTAATAATTCTGTCTGAATTACTTAGAAATATTCATGAAAATGCTATAAAATTACACAATAATGTTTGGAAATTTGACCATTACTGTGAGTTCATTTGATTAAGCATATCACTTCACAAAGCAGGAGGGACAGTCCACCAAAAATAATTATTGGTATAAATATTTTGATACCACACGTTTTGGGGAAGGGTGAGAGCAAGGATGAGTTGTTTCTTTTATGTCTCACTGACAATAGAACAAAGATTTAATGCCAATATTTTACACTTCGGAGCAACTGTTTCCTGGGTTCATTTTTTTTTTTTAAACATGATTTAACTGTCAGATTTAATATATTATTCTAGCCATGTGTCAGCGATTTGTGTATCAATCACAGTCATGCAGAACAAACTTTACATTTGCTGATAATGTAAATGTCTGGTGTCAGACTTGGTATTAGAGAGGTTTTCAAAGTATTGTAATGATATCGATTTATTGTAAATGTGTAAATGAACTGTGTAAATTAATAAATGGGATTTTTTTGTTTGATTTTATGGAAATTACAATGGTACGTTATTTATTATTTACTTATTTCTTGGTGTTCCAAATACAATTAAACAGTCTTTAATATATCAGTAAATATAGCAACTCAGTCATAAGGTATTATTTTTCTGTTTAACGGCATTTAAAATCCAAATACATATTAAAAAGCATACATTTATTATGAGGATGTCCACAATATAGGGACTTTTTATGAGATTGAGTATATTTATTAAGGAGGATGACTGTTGGGTAAGTTACTTCAAAAACGAATTAATTACTAATTACATTTAATATCATTATAAATTGTACTTAAATTATTTATAAATGTAAATAAATTGTCTAATTACTTTGCTAGGAAAAAAACGTATTTGATCAATAAGTAATCAATTTAGTAAATAAATTTAGTATTACTTAATAATACTAGTACTAACATTAGTACTAGTATAATACTTATAATACTAGTAATTTAGATACTAAAAAGCCACATAAATACTAATGAAATTAGATAGAAAATAGAAATAAAACTATTAATTCTTTAAATTGGAGTAAAAAATTTACTTATAAAATTAAATAATAAAATTAAATATAAAACAACACATACATTTACATTACATTACTATATTTAATATATACCATATATTGACATAAATTTCTAAAACATGTCATTGTTTCTTAAGCATGTGCCATTGTCAGACAAATAAAATAAATCTGAATAACAAATATATACATATTATTCTGCTTCTTTGACTTGATTTATACAGAAATGTTATGTACAGTATTTAAGGCGAGTACAGTTGAAGTCAGAATTATTAGCCCCCTTGTTTATTTTTTTTCCACCGATTTCTCTTTAACGAAGAGCAGATTTTTTTTTCAACACATTTCTAAACATAATAGTTTCAATAACTCATTTATAATTACTGATTTATTTAATCTGCCAAGATGACAGTAAATCATATTTGACTAGATATTTTTCAAGACACTTCTACACAGCTTATAATGACATTTAAAGGCATAACTACTGTAGGTTAATTAGGTTAACTAGGCAGGATAGGGTAATTAGGCAAGTTGTATAACGATTGATATTGTATAACGATGGTTAGTTCTGTAGAATATCCAAAAATATATAGCTTAAAGAGGCTAATAATATTGACCTCAAAATGATTTTTAAAAAAATTAAAAACTGTTTTTATTCTAGCCAAAATGAAACAAATTAAGACTTTCTCTTGAAGAATAAATATTATCAGACATACTGTGGAAATTTCCTTGCTCTGTTAAACATCTTTCGGGAAATATTTAAAAAAGAAAAAAAAATTCAAAGGGGGGCTAATAATTCTGACTTCTACTGTATATTACTTCTAGCTAATATATCTCTAAATAAATGACCTAAAAAATTAAAGTAACTCCTTACTTTACATTTTCAGCAGACAGTAATTTAATTACAGTGACTTGTTTGTAAATGATTACACCTAAAAATAAGGAGGATTTTCTGTTTTTTTGTGTTTGATCGCCTTATAGTATCTCAGTTTTTCTCTGATATGCAAACATTCTGAAAATGTCAAAGAACTTTGAAAGTTCAGATTGTTCTTCATAACTGTGGATCTCATTTACGATACCAAGGTCATACAGCGTAATCCACAAGAATTCGGATTTATTTTGGTCCATTACGTAAGACTTGCAGAAATACAGTTCAACCTTTAGCCTTCCCTGATTTACACTGAATGTTTTTTGAGGTTTTTCACTAACTTGATTCATCATCGTTGCATCTCCAGAAGGTTCCATTTAGAAGCAAAGTAAACAGAAGCTGAATTGAGAAGGTTTTTCCTAAGCACTTCAATTCCACTGGCGTCATCAGGTCAGAAAACAGCACTAATGCATCCACATTGTTTACACAGCACTTCGGTGTGATGATGGAGCAATAGATCTCTCGCATTTGTAGCACTCTAACAAATACCACATTCATTCATCCCAGCAGCCAGTGCAACTTACTCTCAAAAACAGAGGAACTAATTCATAAAAAGCACTGGATTGACCTTTAGCGGTGCTCCATGATGACGAAACATTCTCTCTGGTCAGAGACGATGAATCCTTCCTTTGGCTCTGTCAGAAACAGGCTCTCTCTCCTGTCTGCAAGCAGAAAACTGTCTCTAGAGTCCATCATGATGAAGCCCTCTTTATCCTGTCCCGTGGCTTCCACCTCTGCATATGAGGGGTGTCCTGAACCTCGGCGAAACTTCATGGCAGGCCAGTGTGTCGGTCGTCTCTACAGAACAAAAGTAAGATTGCTTTTTCAGAGCACAACTGTACACAAAAGGTTTGCAAAGTACACAAAATGCAATGTCATTTTACAGGTAAACAAAACGGGTGTATGAAACCATCGGCCTGTTTCAGTGTTGACAGTGACATCTTGTGGACAAACTGTGAAATGCAATTATAATCAGTATATAAAGAGAGTTGAATTCTAAATTATTAGTCCTTCTGTGAAATTTTTATTCTTCAAATATTTTTAAAGAGCTGTTTAAGAGAGAAATATTTTTGATTTGTTAACATATTTTTTAATAGTTTTAATAACACATTTCTGATGCATTTCTCTTGTCTGCCCTGATGACAATGCATAATATTTTATTAGTTATTTAGCAAGATACTCATACTATTTTAATTATATAGTTAAGGTAAGTTTGCTTAATTAGACAAGTCCTTCGACAACAGAAGTTTGTTCTATAGTTCTGTTTTTGCAATCGAAAAAAATATGAAGAGGCTAATAATGTTCTCTTCTAAATGCTTTTATTCTATTCATTCATTCATTTTCTTTTTGGCTTAGTACCTTTATTAAGGTGGGATCGCTACAGTTTAATGAACCGCCAACTAAAAGAAATAAGACTTAAAAAATATGTATAATAGGAAATATTGTGAAAAATGTACTTTCTCTGTTAAACAGCACTTACAGATTTGAAAAAGAATTAAAATTGTATGTTTAAGTTGTAAAATTTCAATTTAATGTGTTCTGGCTAAATGTGTTCATTTCATTGTAGCGATAAATCAGGGACTTAGATGAACAAAATGTTGACCAATTCGATTAAACCTTATTTAGATGTTTATTTAAAATATAGTTAGTCAAAAGTCAAAAATGATAAATACATCTTTCACACTTAATTTGTTTCAAACCTGTTTTTTTTTCTTTTCTTTTAATATTTTGAATAATTTTGTAAACAGGTAGCCATTTTTTACCCTATTGTGGATGTCAGTGGTCAGTTTTCAACATTGTTTAGAATATTCAAATATTTAGAATCATCTCAGGATGTGTAAATATCTGGTGAAAAATGGTGACGTATTAAATACTTAATGTATTTACTTATTGTAACCATTGTATTTTTTCACTGTATCCTGTATTTTCCCCACACATTATTAATTTTGCTGAAATATCCCCTCAACTGCTGAATATTTTACCTTAAAATATGCTATTTACAGTATATACTGTATATCATTATATATATATATATATATATATATATATATATATATATATATATATATATATATATATATATATATATATATATATATATATATATATATAGTTGAGGTCAGAATTATTAGCCCCCTGTTTATTTTTTTCCCCCAATTTCGGTTTAATTGAGAGAAGATTTTTTTTCAACACATTTCTAAATATAATAATTTTAATAACTCATTTCTAATAACTGATTTATTTTATCTTTGCCATGATGACAGTAAATAATATTTGACTAGATATTTTTCAAGACACTTTTATACAGCTTAAAGGGACATTTAAAGGCTTAACTATGTTAATTAGGTTAACTATGCAGGATAGGGTAATTAGGCAAGTTATTGTATAATGATGGTTTATTCTGTAGACTATCGGAAAAATATAGCTTAATGGGGCTAATAATTTTGACCTTAAAATGTTTTTTTTTATTTATTAAAAACTGCTTTTATTTTAGTCGAAATAAAATAAATACGATTTTCTCTAGAAGAAAAAATATTATCAGACATACTGTGAATGTCCTTGCTCTGTTAAACATCATTTAGAAAATATTTAAAAAAGAAAAAAACAATCAGACTTTAACTATATGTGTATGTATATGTATGTATATATATATATACTTTTTTGTCCTTGACTTTTTTATTATACTACACTTTTGAATAGTAGTGTATATAGAGATGCTTCATGAGCTGAATCTGCTCGAGTTGCTCGGCTCACCTCTATGAAGAAGAGACTGGCGCTGGATGTGGGATGGTTGTACATGTATATGGTGGCTAACACAGCGAGTACCATTAGGACCATTGTTAAAAGAATGCCAATGAGTAAACCAGTCTGCATTTGCTCCTCTGATTGCTTCTCTAAGATGCCCATCTCTCCATCTGAGACAGAACAGAAGCAAGCAATTACTATATATTTACATTGAAGAGAAATGAGAATCATACTGCAATGTCAGGGTGTTCTGGGTTTTGTGGTGATTGATTTTAGTGTGCTTTATGCAGTCTGTGTGGTTGTAACAGTGATGCAAAAAGACCAAAAGAGAAAATGACTGAATGAAAACTTTAACAGATATGGAACAAGATGACAGATTGTTTTGAAGAGGTGAGCTGTTCCTTTAAGAAGAACTGTCAATCAAGCCTTCATTTAAAAAGAGCAAAATATACAGTAAAAATAAAAATAAAGTCTCAGTGATCTGCAGCACATAGGAAGACTGAAACATACCATCAGTAAAGAGGCTGGTAGACAGGTTTGTCATGAATAAGTCTGTGCCGGTGACGTTGCCGGTGAGTGAGGAGGCTGATGTGGTCGATGTTGTTGTAGTTAGAGAAGCTGCTGTGAGTCCTGTCTTCCCTGGTGGAGTACTGCTAACGAGGGACTGTTTTCTGTCACAGCTCTGGGTCTTTATCTGAAAATACATTCACAGTAAGTCCATAACAATGGAAGATGGTGGACAATAAAAGAAGAATTAGACAAGAAAATGAATGAAGGACAATATAGTTACCTCACTTAAGCAACCATTGTCAACCCAGTCCTGACGATACTGGTCAAATCCACTGGAACACCTGCAGGACAAACCTGTTGAGTCCAGCTTTAAAAGTGAGCTTAAAAAAATAGTTCACCCAAAAATAAAATGACCCAATAATTTACTGTGGAAGTGTTTGAAAACAGTATACCATCACTCAACTCTTTGCCCTCAAACAACTAATGGAAAAAGAACTTTGTTTGAAGTAAACCCAGGGCTTTACACAACATGTAAGAGCCAGGATAGAATTTAAAAGTACTCTGATTGTGTTCGTCTGACAGAAGAAAGTCATTTACTTTGAAGATGGCTTGAGGGTGAGAAAATCATGAAGTAATTTTACATTTTTGGGTGAACTACTCCTTTAAGGATGTGTTCACACTTGTAGTTCAGTTTGCTTATTTTCTTTTTTGCTCTTGACCAAAAGAACTCTTATGTTTAGTGCTGGTTTACTTTGCATTCACACTGTTATTTTTATGACTAGAGAAACCCAACATGACACGTAACAATATACTGAATATGTATATTTGTGAAAAGCCTGAATCTGTAAAGGAGTCAAAACAGGACCAGGAATTCCTCAATCTTTATCTCACACCAAGAAAGATCTGTAATCGACATTGCAGAGTATTTTGTCCTATTATGGTGGAACCTCATAATATCATGTGCTGTTTTTGGTTTCTTTGAATGTTTTTTGCTCCATGATGTGTTCATATTTCAATAGAACCACACCTGAGTTTGTTTGGAAGAAAAGCCATCTTTGTCATTTGGTGCACACAAAGATTCGAATAGCAGACTAATTCAACTGAACCACAATAACAGTGCAATCGCTTCAGAGCTCATCTAAATCAAATCATACCTCTTAAGTGTGAACACAGCCTAATAGTTGAAGTTTGCTGCATAACAGTAGTTCTAGTGATATCAAAAACTCAAGTAGGTACCTCTGCAAGCGACTGCACCAGCTACAGTTGAAGCCAATCTGAGCCGTAACACACGTCTCACAGCTTGAGAACTGAAGGCAGGCTGACAGCAGGAGAAAAAAACAGAACAATATATATTTACTTATGAGGGTTTTAGTAAACAATATTTTCCAGAATTTGGACCTTTTTTAATCATCTGAAACATTGTACCGTTTATAGTTCAAAGAAATTCATTTACCAAAGAGCAAGCAAAAATAAACATAGTGCAAATGCATTTATATTGCTGCCACATGATAGAGGGATTTGTGTTTTTTGTAAAGTGAGTTTCCCACACGCCCTTAGCTCTCGTTTTAAATCAATCTGTTTAGACTTGAAGTTCAGTTATGTATACTGGAAAGTTTGTTGTGGAGTGAGAGGATCTAAAATACATTACAAGTTTGTAAATGCTTAGTTTAATTTAAGACTACAAAATTTATTTTATTATTAAATGAATCATTAAAACATCAGTTAAATAAATCCATTTTCTTCTCTAAGCAAACCTCAAAGTTTTGACGGTGTGACTGATTCTTTTTTCTTTTGGGAATATATCGAAGGTAACAAGTCAAAACATGGAAAACAACAGCTGGTAAACCCAACATTAGTACTGTATACAAAAGAGTTCAAAGGAAAATATTGTTTCTCTGGATTTGTATTATAATTAAATTAAATCTAGTTGTGTGAGCATTGACGCGGTAGTGCTGTTGCTTCACAGCAAGAAGGTTGCTGGTTCGATCCTCGGCTGAGTCAGTTGGCATTTCAGTGTGGAGTTTGCATGTTCTCTCCGCATTCGTGTGGGTTTCCTTCCGGTGCTTCACTTTCTCCCACAGTCCAAAGACATGTGGTACAGATGAATTGGGTAAGCTAAAAATGTCCGTAGTGTATGTGTGTGTGTGTGTGTAAATGAGTATGTATGGGTGTTTCCCAGTGATGGGTTGCAGCTAGAAGGGCATCTGCTGCATAAAATATATGCTGGATAAGTTGGCAGTTCATTCCGCTGTGGTGACCCTAGTTTAATAAAGGGGCTAAGCCGAAAAAATTGAATGAATGAATGTGTGAGCAGTTCAGACTTACTCGGCAGCGGAAGCATCTCAACAGCAGTCGCATTCGTGATCTTAGATTTTAAGAGCTCTACACGATGATACTCATATATAGTTCTCCTCCAAACATCTATCATGGAAAAAGATGAAAGAGGATTTATTAAAACCACAAAATGAAGACTAGAATAGGCAAAACTGCTAAACTAAAAATGTTAACTAAAATAAATGTTAAATAAACTGTTAACTGAAATTCATATAGGATAAGAGGAGTTCAGATTAATTCAAGTGCAGATTAAATCTAAAGTTTTCTTCTAAAAGGAGAATTTTTCTTAGTCTCCTACAGTTTGTGTAGGTTCAGTTATTTCAAGTTAAAAAAAATAACATATTATTCACCACAAACGTGAAATTACTGAACCTACTGTACACATATAGGAAAATGCTAATTTGATCAGAAAATGTCAAGTTTTGTTTTGCATCTGAATGTTTCATATACAGTGCATAAATGGTCCCTATTTTATTTTTCATAATGACCTTACATGCAGTGTGTAACACAGCTCTCTAAGTGTATAAAATATTCAGCTGAGTTTGAAATCTGAAAGTGCATCGTGTATAAAATTATTGACTCTCAAAAGCAGGAGTCAACTCAGAGTCATTAAAATGAGCCGTTTTCTAAATGAATTATAAATACCTGATTTGGGATTAATTAAGCAAACAATGTAATGCATATTGTAAGACAATGAAGTATGCGTTTTTTGTTTTGTTTTTAACCTTGTTTGCATGTCAAACTGTTGTTGAGGACTCCCAAAACCAATATATGGACTTCAGAATCCATAATTGGGGCACTTTCAGAAACATCCAAATTTACCTTGCTAAATGAAACAAAGTTGCTATTAAGAACTAAAATAACAAAAAAACTAAAATGGAAATAAAATAGAAAAAGAATAAAAATGGCAAACATGCAGCAAAACAAAAACATGAATGAGTGAAAACAGAACAAGCACATTCAAAATAATACAACTACAGTAGTACAGTATATAAGATATAAAAGGTAAGATCAATGGGCAAATAAATTTTTTAAAAAACTTACTGGGAAGCTGTTCAATATTATGAAGAACCACAAATGCATCAGAAAGCCCCACTTTCACAGGATGATCCACTGAGCTGATCTTACTAATGTCAACTGGAATCTACAAGCAGATGAGAGTCAAACCCTGACTCATCCATATCAATGCAGCAGTGTCAGCGCTAAAAGTATATAACATACCTCTTTATATGCAAAGGTGATTCTGCCATCAGCGTATAAGGCTGCCTGGAAGGTAAAACTGCCTAGAAGAGCCTCGTCCTGGAGATGCACTCGCTCCCACTGAACAACAAGAGCTGTGCCTATTGATAATATAACCATTCAGATTGAACACATTCAACAATGCAAATAACACTTTAAAATGATAGTCTGTCCCATTTTACCATTATCACAGTAAATGACTGTTGAGTTTTGTGAGATGCTGAGGTCAAAGTTGGCCATTAGGGGAGCGATGTATTGAGTAGCCGTCAGCATTTTGTGGACAACATCTCCAGTGTAGATAAAACCTGAATGGAAAATAATATAAATAAAAATAAATGACAAGGTTTGGCAGGTATCTTTTCATTTTTTTGGAAATAAGTACAGTGCTCAGCATGTACGAGTAAACTCCTCATAAATCTAATAGGAAGCGATACAATATTATATTTGTGCATATACATTAGATTAGTCAGTACTGAAGCCAAATCTGGAGCGCATCCAACAAAATAACTTACAATAACGGTCCAAAAACTAGTATACCTAATTTATATGTTATCGAAAAATATTAAATACAAATTAAAAAAGAGAAAAAAAAAAAGCAAAACGAAGAAGCAAAAAGAAAAAAAAATTGTAGGTTGAATTTTTTTTGCAATATTTTGCTTGAATTTATTTGTATTATCTTCCAATATCTAAATATGCTTGAGTAAAATATTATTTGAATAAATATATCTGTTTAATAAATCTGTTGTGTTTAAATGCACCAAAATACATTGCCTATATTCACTGAGAAATAGAAACAAATATTCATTTTTAAACTGGGGTGTAATCAGTTATGAGCACTGTATGTACAGTCAAGCCTGAAATTATTCATGCCCGTGGCAAATTATGACTTAAAATTTTTGTTCAAATGTAAAAAAAAATTATTTCCACCGCTTGTACATTGTCTAATTATCGTTTGGGAGAAGCCTGCGCCATTTTCTGTCAAAAAATAACTTTCTGGTTGAATAAAAGTAGCCTAACTTTAAGTCAGAATTTGGCAGGTGTATGAATAAATTCGGGTTTGATTGTATGTATGTAATGTATATACTGTATAAAAAATTGCTCTCACCTCCTGTTGCTACATAGATTTTTCTTAATGAATGTCCATAGAAAGGAAAATCAAAAGACATATTGACTCTCTGTAACGCAAAACAACAGTTTTGGCGTATTTAAAAGTAATTAGTTAATGAATACTTTTTTAGGAAGTGTATCTGACAGTATGATCTTACCAAAGTTTGTCGATGTGTGTTGGAGAGGATTTCATGAACTTTTCCAGTGTCCATTTTCTCAATATTTACCCACAAATCCTTGTGTGAACTGTCTGTAAGCTTATAGAATTTGGATGTGTAGTAGATATGATCCATATCTCTCTGATGAACAGAAAAAAGATTTTCACGCAATAAAACAATAACAGCTTCACCTTTTCTATACAAAATGATTGCTATCACATATTTACTTTGCCTCTATTCTTCAATAGTCTTCAATCAGTTTTTAATGTTGTTTACCTTTTTAAAAATACTGTAAATATGTCTCCTAAAGTCATCACAAATTCATCTTTTTATTTACAGAAATCAGTAAATAACTTTCACCAGGATTCACTATAGTTAAAGAATTTCCTGAAACCATGATGACCACAATGTGAAACTGATAAATTTTATACCTCCACATGTTATAAATACAGTCAGATCTTACTGCTGAATGACGTTTTATCATTTCATATGTACAGTATTTACAGTGTTCAAATATATAAAAGAATTGAACTCCATTAATCAAAATATGGGTAAAATGTTGCACTGACATTCAGCATAACACCTGTGATAGGGGAACAAACTGGCGACATATAAAAATAATAATTATTATGATAATAATAATTATAATAATAATGATTATTATTATAATTATAACAATAATAATAATATGATTAATTATTATTAACCCAATTATAAACATCTACAAAAAGAAATATCACTAATGTTTTTGTGCTACTGTATAATGCGTTTTACAACAACAACAACAATAATAAAAATAATAATAATAAATAATTTTCATTCATTCATAATTTTTTTTCAGCTTAGTCCCTTTATTAATCAGGGGTCACCACAGCGGAACGAACTGCCAACTTATCCAGCATATCTTTAATGCTGGGGATGCCCTTCCAGCTGAAACCCATAATAAATAATAATATTTTTTTAAAACATAACAAATTTTAACACAATTGTAATCCTACTATTTTTCTTTGCTTGTTTTAAGTATGATGTGATAATACATTTCTGTATGTTCACCTTAATGGATAAGTTGTCATGGCTCTCATTCGTCACAACTTCTGGAAAGCGCTCTGAATCCAACCTGCCGTGCTCTACATATCGCTTCAGCTCCTGGTTCTGACTGATTTCCACCTCTGGCTTGGATGTGAACATCCATCTCCTCTGTCTCTTACTGTCAAACGTGAGGTTTACGCCTGCGTCCTCTTGCTTGGAGGGTCTCTCAAAGGTAAAACAGGAGACTCCTGAACAAAGAAGACAAGTCTAAAAAACAATCATATTGCAAAATTATTGTTCTCTGAAACAAGGAATTTCACAGAAAACACTTTCTTTCTGCTGTTTTCTTAAGCACAGGATGTAACATTGAAAATGATTTTCAGCAGCTCCAAATGACCTGTAATGCAAATAAACAGTGTTCCTCACATCCTGGAGTGACAGAAGTGCATGTGTCCAGTACTTCTGTAACAGAAGAGTGTGAAACATGCTCAGGATTCCTCAGCACAGGACAGCCAAGTGTGAGGGGCAGGAGTGTTTTGAATGGAGTATCACAGACTTTCTGTTTGCTCACTTCTTTCTTGTGTACTTTTTTGTTTGGATTCCGCCAACATTACTTTGATACTGCACCATACATGTTCAAACTAATGTCAGATTATGCTTCAGTAAAGCTTTCTGACGAGACCCTGCACCTTCAGCACAGAGGGCTGCTCTTTTCCAGTCTGGCATTGAAACTGCGTGTCATGCCCGCTGGTCTATCACATTTATTTTCAACATGCTGACAAAGACAAGCAAGCTTTTGAAATACTTACTGTATTTAAATCAAGTACAAACACATTGCTTTTTAATGTCTGACCTGAACAACATTGCTGATATTTATTTTGTTATACTCAGCAAGTTTCTCAGTACCAGATTGCAAATAAATTGCAAAAAAAAAAAGAAATTTATTTAAAAACTAATGATAAAAAAGTCAATGAATTTTTATTGCACACTCATTCATTTTGCTGTTCTGCTGTCATTTATTGGCATCTAGAATCTTTGCTTGCAAGTTGAAAAGTTTTGAACCCATACTGTACTCAGTTACTCAGTACAAATGGTAATTTATAGGTCACGTTTTGTATGAATCTCAAATATATGTAGAACTTAAAATTAAATTCATACAACTTGAGTATGTCCTGCACAGTAATACAAACAAAATAAAACCAGAAGCCTAATAAATTTTTGTGAGAATTCATAATAATAACAAAGTGATAGTATAATGTACAAATTAAGCTATAAGAAATATAAAATTTAAGATATAAACAAGTCTTAAAAGTCACTCAAAAATCAAATCGGCATTATTAAATGACAGTTAATATTAGCTCAAGTGCAGATCATAAATTTATACATACATATATAATCCTCAAGCTCAGAGATGAATTTAGCTTTCTTCAGTATTTTTGCTATTTAGTGAAAACATGAGAGAAGAATGAATGACTTACCACTGGATGACAAATCCTGAAAGGTAAATTTAATCTGAATAACAGCAAAAATACCCAAGAAAACATGTGGTCTTGCTGGCAGTGCCATAACCAACTATATTTAACGAATACTTGTTCGTTTAAACGGAGGGAGAAGGCAGAAAAGTGCACGCGACCGACATGTAGAACAACGCGCGGGACGTTCAGCTCCAAACACACCCACGACAGTCAGTGACGCACGTTTGAGTTCATTTTAACCAGAGCCGCTTTATAAGACAATAATATGACGATAAGTCTAGTTTTAAATATTTACTCTTCTCAAAAACATGAAAAAACGTAACTGTGGTAAGTGTATGTTTTAGCAGTTACAATGCTAACTTTTGAAATGGAGAAGGGTATTCCTGCACAACTGGAGTGGCTGCACTCTCAGGACCACATTTTTAGGACCGCATCTTTAGGACCCTAGTTTTTTGTGACAGCGTCACCTGTCGGATTGGATCATGGATGCGCTAATGGATGACACGGATGACAAGGAAAGTGTAAGTACCGATTTTTCTATTAAGTTTTATTTTAAACTGTTAAAGTATGTGTTTATTTTGTAATGCTGCTGTTTTATACAGTGAGTTTATGCAGAAATGCCAGATTAGCCTGCATGATTTACCCCACTTTTAAGGGTCTGGGACAAAAATGTTACGTGACAATATTTTTTCCAGAAGAAGAATAAAATATTATAATAATAAATATGGATAATTTTACACAGCCAGAGTGAGAGCTGTTATAACTGTTAATAATTTTCTAGAGTTCGTTTTCTAGTTTGATTAAATGCTACGACGTTCGTAGCTCGTGACCATGGTTTAATGAAACATTGTTGATTTAATGGCTTGTTGACTTAACGGCTAATGTGCTTAGTGACATGTATTAAACTAAGATGGTAAAAGCACGTTTGATGTAAGAGTTTTAGATTTATCTATATTTTACTGAATTCGTGTTATTCGTTGTATTACATTAGCACATTGAAAATTGTGCTGACTGCCTGTTTGCCCCACAATACTGTATGTGTTATTAGCCTGATGTTTTGATGGATGCTTAGGCTCATTGTAGGAGGAAAAGAAAACAAACTACAGGATGATTTTCATTGAGGTTATCTCAAACTGTTGAGTAACACTTTATAACATCTGCATACTATAAATAAATAATTATTAAGCATTTAATAACTAGTTAATTTATTAATATTTTATTTGTTTAGCATTAACTCTACATTAAATAGACATTGATAAGCAGTTTATAAATACAGTTACAAATGCTAGCTGTGTTCTTGAGTTTATAGCATATCTATGAAGAAGTGCAGCTTATCTGTGGTGTTCATTTTCCAGAGGAATGTCTGGCCAAATAAGTATATAAACTGCATGCTGGGTGCTACTCATTTATGAATCCATGTAAAATGATTTGCTGTTCTGTGGTAGTATTTTAGTTCATATTTAAATAATTTTTTTTTCATAGGCCATCGTACATCCTCTGGGTGTCTTGAGGAGCTGGTCTTTGGATAATGCTGAGCAGGTCTTTCTTCCTGGTAAAGATTATCATTACAGGTCAGAATATGGTTAATTTTGGCACAATGCTCAAAGAGCCTTTTTGTTACTGGTATATATGTTAACTCGACAGTGATTGTTCTCTATTTCAGTGAAGTAAAAGAATTTAACAGACAGATTTACAAACAACTGACGAAAGAAGGGAGACCATTCAATAGGTGGGTATTGCTCTTATAAACTTAAAAATATGGAGTTGGGAGTAAAGTTTCCTGTTTGGTTCTCCCAACAGTGCATACGCTTAAGCCAGAAATAAATAAATAAATATATATATATATATATATATATATATATATATATATATATATATATATATATATATATATATATATATATATATATATATATATATATATATATATTATAGCTTACACTGTAAAGCAAATGTTTGTTATTATACCTCTTATATTAAATATTAATCTGAATTTAATTTCATAACAATTGATTAACCTTTTGAGTTCATATACATTGTTTTACATATTCAAGAATATATATATTCATTCATTTTCTTTTTCGGCTTAGTCCCTTTATTTATCAGGGGTTGCCACAGCAGAAGGAACCGCCAACTTATCCAGCATATGTTTTACACAGCGGATGCCCTTCCAGCTGCAACCCAGTACTGGGAAACACCCATTTACACTCATACACTTGAACATGGGGAGAACATGCAAACTCCACACAGAAATGACCACTGGCCCAGCCGGGGCTTGAACCAGCAACCTTCTTGCTGTGAAGCGACGGTGCTAACCACTGTGCTGCCCTATGTGCTCTATGCGGGTGAGTGGGATTGACAAACCACTTGGAGGGAACACTCTTGCTGTCTTAACCAGACATTTTGTTATAAATAATCATGTGCGTTTCATGTTTATTCATATAACTGCTATTTTATCTCTTAGCACTTCATTTTTGTCTTGATATTTAATATCTCTTGTTTAAATACACTATGAACAGCAGCTGCGCTAATTATTTTCCTTGTTCCCTATTTCCACCTGGGGATATTCATCCAGAGGCCTCTAGAGATCGTAACCTGTGAAGAGATGATGCCACCATAGAGGACTTCTAAATGTATCCATAATCCTGAAACAGACCGTATCATGAGCAGATGCTGTGGTGGTCATGGAGAAGTGGAGAGCATGAGACTGATTAATGAAAGACCCCAGTGACAGATGAGTGCCCACATTGACCCTGTGGTCCAGCCTGAAAACCAGCTGGTGACCTACTCGCACCTGCAGCTTCTCTACGATGGACGCCCAGTGTTTGCCTCCAGCGCCTAGACTGCAGCTCTGCATGTGAAGTGTGGCCAGAAGAGAAATGGTTGTTCCCAACTGAGCCTAGTTTCTCTCAAGGTTTATTCCTTCCCTTTCATCAATTGGTAAAGTTTTGTTCCTCCACTGTTGCCATTGGCTTGCTTGGTTTAGGACTTGTGGAACTGTGCATCGATGGATTTGCTTTTTTTTAGTGTTTGGATTTTTAGCAGTGATTACTAAACCACACTAAACTGAACTGAATTTAATAAATATTAAGCTGCTTTGACACAATCTACATTGTAAAAGTGCTTTAGAAATAAAGATGAAATTAATTAAAATTGAATTGAATATTCAACACGTTTCCATTTTTCTCAGAAAACATATTTATAAAGGTGCTGTTGACTTGAAATTTTCACCAGATGTTGATAACAATTTGTAAAGTAATTAGATTTGTTTTCTATTCATATATTTTTTTTCTTTGGTTTTCAGGTCAATAGCACCTTTAGAAATATGTTTTCTGAGAATAATGGGAACTTGTTAAATACTTATTTACCCCAGTGTGTATGTATATATATATATATATATATATATATATATATATATATATATATATATATATATATATATGTATATGTATGTATGTGTGTGTGTATGTGTGTGTGTGTGTATTTATATGTATGTATATATGTATGTATATGTGTGTGTGTGTGTGTGTGTGTGTGTGTGTGTGCGTGTGTGTGTGTGTGTATATATATATATATACTTGAACTTTCTTCTTCACTCTCATTCACAGGAGCTAAAGTCTACAGCCAGTCTGAATGCAGCAACTGAATAAACAGTGGGGTCAATTTTGTGGTTGAATTGCATTAATAAAAAAAAAGTGTGGATATTTATATAAATGTACATTCTTGAATCATTCTTGCGTCTTGTCTCTCTAAAACCTTTACAACCTGGTTTTAAATTAGTAACTGCAAATGCTGAACCCATTTGATTTCAATTTATTTTCCTTAATACTGAGCTAATTTGTTCAATGTAATGGGGTTCATCAATATACAGTATTTTTCAAAGAATTTAAGACTTTTAAGGCACTCAACTCTATTTATTCATTTATATTTTAGGTGTAAATTCATTTGTTTCATTTTAAAATTGTTACTTAAAGCAGGCGTTTTACACTTTAACCTCTGTAATAAAAGTGCCTGAAAGTTTCCGCTATATAATCCAATTCGGTAGGTGGCGCAGTTACAAAACGGGTCCTAGAAATGCAGTTTCACTTTGTCATCCAATCCGGTAGGTGGCGCTTCTGCAAAAAACTAGGGTCCTAAAAATGCGGTCCTAAACATGCGGTCCTGAGAGTGCAGCTACTCCAGTTGTGCAGGATCATACTATTGTTGAAATGTGCAACTTGCAAGAGTTTGTAAAGGGATAGTTCACCCAAAAACCAATATTGACTCACGGTTCAATTTATTCACCCTCTTGTGGTTCCAAACCTGTGGGATTTTTTTTTACGTTGAACGCAAAAAATGTAACTGTGGTAAGTGTATATTTTAGCAGAAACTATGCTAGCTGTTGAAATGTGTTACGTTTCGTTAAGGAGAGTTGACTCAAAAACGAATATTTACTCACTGTTTGCTCACCCTTAAGTGGTTCCACAACTAGGAGTTAGGAGTTTCCTTATGTTGAACACTAAAGAAGATATTTTAAAGAAAGCTGAAAACCCGTAACCGTTCCATAGTAGAAAAAACAAATACTATGCAAAAATGGTAACAGGTTACATGATTTTTCAAAATATATTCTTTTCTGCTCAACAGAAGAAAGTCAAACAGGTTTGGAAGAAGTGAAGTTTTTGGGTGAAGCATTCCTTAATCGTAGCGTACTTGAGGGAAACTTTTATTTTTGCCAGTTAACCAAGGAGCTAAAATTCCAAAGCTTTTTACATGCAACAAATACATAGAGAATGAAGTATCATGTCTTCTGAGTGTTCAGCACTAGACTTTGTGTCAGGATACATACAGCCATGTTAAACAGCGGTTTAGCTAAGCTTTTAAACAGAGACGTTACAAACATATCAATGAACTTTTAGTGTTCATTTTGATTTATTCAACCACTTAAAACTGATGTGCCTTGTTGTTGGCAAGGGTAGCTGACTGTGGTTGTGTGTGCTGCTTGTTTGAAAGGCAGGAAGGTTGGCTCAACCTGAGGAAACTGGTTCCTGTGAGAAATGAGTGGATTAGGGGAGTGTGACATGTCTCATAGGACCGACAGGATTCTCTGCTCCTTGCGTTTGGAAAAGTCAAGCAGCTCTCTTCTGAATGATGGTAGGTCAACTCAAGTTTCAGCGGTTTAAGTGAAGTGAATTATCAGATGTAGTGTACTGTACTGTTTGGTCAGATTTAATTGTTTGGAAAAATGCAATAAGGAAGTCTGTGGTAAGAAAGAGCTTAAGAAATGCCTGAACT